CACACAGGCTGATATGTTGTTCCAGGTGGGCTTTGTTGCTTCTGAGCTAGATGGCCGCTTGTTTACCTTCAAGCTTTTAAGACCCCAGACACTATATATCTTTTGATAGCCGGGCACCATCAGCTTTCTTCACCACATTTGCTTATTCACCCGCTTTGTCTCAGCGGTTGTGTTGGGAAGGTGAGCATCATAGAATGCCAATTTAATAGAAGAAAGTATTCTTGCATTGAGGGAGTACTTGAGTTCATCCGTCGGTCTTAAAGCATTTTGAGTTAAATTAAAATGTCAAACCCCATGGAAAGATTCAGCCTCTATATGTAAGGTTTCTCTGGTGAGAAATACCTCGATCCTTGGCTTCATATGAGTAAGAATTCATGCTGAAGCCTGGTTGTGATCCAAGTAGGTTTTTATAAAGGACAGAAGCGTCAGGTTGTACAGCCACGGACTGTGCCCACACATGGCAGCCTGAGACCAGAGAGTCCGCAGCACGGCCAAGCAGGACAGGGGCCGAAGGGCAAAGAAAAGGAGGCCAGTGGTCTTGTGGTCAAGGTATTTGAGACCTCTGGCCGGGAGGTGTGGCCAAAGGTATTGGTTGACCCTATTGGCTGAATTAAGCCCACCTGGGCCTCGTTTGGGCTGCCCAGGTGTACTGCCCACCTGCCTTGCTTGAACTGGAGCATGCCTAGTTATTCTTTACGGCTGACTAAGGCTCACCTGATTCTCTCCCAACCACCTCTATGGGGCCTTCAGGCATGAAGAGGGGCACCCCTGTCCCTATCCTGCTACCCAACATATACACCTCATAAACTTGGTCAGTCCCCTTGTCCAGGGGCAGCAGGAAGTTCCCTGTCTGCACACATTCAGGAGGGCCCCCTTCCAGGAGTTCAGAGCAGCTGCGCTTTGGGCAGGGCAGGGCCACCTAATCAAGGACAACAACCAGGAGAACCTAAGTCAGAGCTTGGGCCTGGGCCCGTCCTGCTTCGGGGACCATTCAATCCCAGCATCTTCATTCTGGGAAGAAAAGCAAAGGAGGGAAGAAAGAGGGAGAGTCCCTGCCTAACAACCTCTGGGTTTAGATGGACAAGTCTCGGGGTGGTGAACATGGTGTGTGCTCGGCTAATCCAAGGTTAGTGGTTCAAACTCACCCAGGAGCTCCCCAGAGGGAAAACCCTGGTGAGACAGGACACCCTGATGGATGAGTTCTACACTGGGACACGTGGGTTCATGGTGTCAGGACCGAGTTGACAGCAGTGGGCTTTTGGTTTTGTGTTTTCGGTGTGGGCACGAGAGTGGCATGTTCACTTGATCCCTTTTCACGCTCAGCCAGGCGCAGAAAGAGAGAAGCTGGCACACCTCGTTGGATTCCAGCGCTTGCTCTCCCTCCGCCACGTTGGGAAATCCTCACCTGTGAAGACCCTTGCTCCCTCGCTGGGGAAACCAGCCCCCGCACTGGGGCGGGCACCCCGAAGGACCTCTGTGAGTTTGCTGGCTGGCTTGGCCAGACCTTCCTATCCTCCTGGACACTCAGACGCTCCCTCTGCTCTGCCTGGCTTTGCCTAAATTTAGTTGTTCTTGAGTCTAAAGAGTAACAAGCATGGTGCCCAGCAGATTAACCCAGAGAAACAAAGACAGCAGACACAAGCCACTGAGTGGCTTCGCTCCGTAGTGACTCTGTCGGGCAGAGCAGAACTCCCATGGGTTTCTGAGACTGCCAGTCTTTTTTTTTTTAAGACAGATTTATTGGCACTTAGTCCACACAATTCAATAGTTCAATCATATCAAGAAGAGTTATACAATCATGACCGCAATCAGTTTTAGAACAGGCTGTCAGTCTTCATGGAAGAAGGCAACCTCTTCTTTTGCCCTAGGAGCAAGTGGAAAATTCGAACAGCTGGCCTTGCGGTTGGTGCCCCAACGCATCTCTCCATACTACCAGGAGAGCAGCTGAAGCAGCACAGAATGCCCGCAGACAGAAATGAGGAGAAAGTGCCTGAGAAGGACTGCCATCACCAAGCCACAGGGACCCTTGGGTGCCACAGAGCAAACCCAGGGTGCCCGGGGTTAGAGTAAAACCTGGGGATAAAAGTGCATGATGCAAAGTCTCCGATCTCCGATTCTCCTTGTTTCCTTCAGGAACTAGCCCCCAACCACACTCCCACCTACCAAGCCAAGCTCTTTACTCAGCAACTTTACGAGCCTCGGCTATTCCTTTAGAGTGTTGGGCTGGGAATACCTGCTTTGCCATTTGGAAACATCCAGCAAGATAAAGGATAGTGTTTGGCAATGTCTCCGGGTTCACTCAGAGTGGATAGATATTAATAATGCATAGTTACTAATGTCCCTTCCCTAATGCAGTCCCATGGTGCTTCTTCCTCATCATTTCAAACAGAGGCAGGAAACATCTCAGTAAGACCCCGGCTATGATTTACAGAGCACCTGTACATCCATCAGCAGCCGCGCGCCTCACCACATCCACCAGCAGGGCAAAACCAGGATCCTGATCCTCTTGTGGGTGGCGAAGATCAAGGTCAGCAGTTCAAAACCACCAGAGCTTTCTGCTCCCTGAGGAAACTCACAGGGCAGTTCTAGTCTGTGCTCCAGGGTCGCTATGAACAGGCAGAGACTCAATGGCAGTGGGTTTGGTTTGAAGGACGTAGAAAACCTCCTCTTCCTCCCTCTGAGAGAGGCTGGTGTTTCTGACCTTGAGATTAACAGCCCAGACACCACCAGGGCTCCTGCAGGGCTGGATCAGGAGTCAGGATGTGGGCTCCTACTTCTGTCCACCAGGTGTCGGCCTCCTGCACCTGGGAAAGAGAGGTCATGGGCAATACACAGAACTGGAGGCTCTCTCCACCCTAACCCTGGGATGCTCTCTTTCTCTCTCTCTCTCACACACACACACACACACACACACACACACACACACAGCCCTCCAGGGGCCGCCCATCCTGGGCACACTAGGAACGGCAGGTTTCCAGGGTGACAGTCAACATGGGCAGGATTTCCAAACACAGCTCTGCTCAAAAGTTTTCCCAGGCTTGGGGGGAGCAGTCAGGCTCCACACTCATAGGCAAGCAGGATCTTTGTACCAGTTCTCCTGGCTAGCAAGGGAGGGGGAGGTTGGACAGGGGCCACACGCCCCCAGGCACACACACACATTCACACACTCACACACACACTCACTCATGGGGAGCCGCCCCAGCCCTGGCCTACAGAGAACCACATCTGCAGGATACCGATTGCCCCCAAGCAAACAGCCGGCCTCCATCTCCCCACCTGCTCGGGGTGGCCCTGTGACTCGAAGGGGTCTCCAGAAGCCCCGGGACCCCGAGCAGGAGACCCCGAGAGCAGAGGGCACGCAGCAGGACCAGCTGTGGAGGGAGCTCGTGGAAGCAGAGCTTCGGAGTCAGCGGCGCTGGTGAGTCCCTGGGGCGCCCTCCTTCCTCCCTCCCAGGCAGGGCGCCATCCCCTTTTCAAAGCTCGAGGAGGAAGATGGACTTGGAAGTCCAGGGTGAGATGGGGGCGAGGGCAGACCTGGAGCCCCACTCTGACTGGGAGCCTGCGGGGCTTCTGGGGAAGAGGAGGAGGAGTGGGAGGAGGTGTTGGGGACCGGTGGTCAGAAGGGAGAGGGGAACACCTGAGAGAGTGGTCAGTGCAGCCTGGAAGGCAGGTAGGGGGCTTGGTTGTGGGTGTTCAAGGAAGGCAGGGAAGGGTTTGAAGAGGCCATGGAAGAACCGGACACACTGTGGCTGCGGCTTGAACAATTACAACCTGGACACTCGATCTCCCTTTCAGTACGCTTTGAGCTTCCTGTGGTTTTCAGCGTTTTCTCTCTCTCTCTCTCTTTTTTTTGTTGTTTTTCTCAAATTGAGGTTCATCTCTTGTATTTTTGTTGTTGTTGGTAGCATTCTTGACCCTCTGTTGGGTATCTCACTATGATTTCCGGGATCAGAAACCCAAGTTGGGTGAATCTTCAGAGACAATAACCAGAACGTGGGTTCAGGGCGCGGGAGGGGGTCACTATGTAGGCAGGGGAGGGAGGCAGTAATGGGGAGCTGATATCAAGGAGGTCAAGAAGGAAGAAACTGTTTTGAAAACGATTGCGGCAGGGATGGCACAGCACTGCTTGATATGGCTGAACTATTGAACGGTATGGTATCTGGATCGTGTCCTACAAAATGGCTGGGGGTGGGGAGAGAAACAAAACGAACTTCTAAAAATAAATACAGCTATCGACACATACCCCAAACCAAACCCACTGCCACTAAGTCAATTCCAACTCACGAGGGCCCTGTATAAGGTTGCGGGGGCTGTGAATCTTTACAGGACCAGCCGTCTCCTCTTCCTTCCAAGGAGCGGCTGATGGGCTCGAACCGACAACCTTTCAGTGAGCTATCCAACACTTCCCTGACAGAGCTACCAGAGCGCCGACGATTTGTTTAAATACAAGTACAACGTAAGAGAGAATCCGTAAACTCAAGATTATTTCTTCAAGTTGTTTTCTAGTTGACCTGGGCTCTCAGAGACCCCGTCTGCAGCTGATGTTTTTGAAGTAAGTCACCAGCACTTCCTTCCAAAGGCACCTTTGGGTAAACTTGAACCTCCAACCTTCTGGTCAGTAGTCCAGTTCATCAATTGTTCATACCACCCAAGATAGATTAGCAGGCCTGTCTTAGGAAAAGATTTAAATGCAGGAAAACAAACTCACTGCCATCAGTTGATTAGAATACAGAAGAGCAAACCCCCTCCCATCGGTCACCCCTAACTCCTGAGGACCCTGTAGGAAAGGTTAGAACCACCCGGGTTTCTGAGACGGCAACTCTTTACAGGAGAGGCAAGCCCCATCCTTCTTCTGAGAGCTGGGGACTTCAAACTGCTAAAGTATTGGAAGAGAAAATGCCTTAGGATTCTCCAGAACCAGAAACATGCACAAATCCTGGAGGATCACACACACACACCACCACCACCACCACCACCACCAACACCACCAACACCACCAACACCAACACCAACCACTGCAGCAGTGGGAGAATAGACAAAGGAAGACAGAGAGTCCAGAGACAGCGGCCATGGGATGGGGGTGGACAGGAGGCCAGGGCTGGGAAAGCCCCAGAAGTGCTTCTTCCTTAGCTGGTTCATGTGCTTGTGAGAAAGGGGTACTGAGTGGGGCTGTAGGTCTTTGTTTTTAGCCATGTGAAATCAATGGAATACATTTTCTTTGGAACTTAAGAACACTGGGAGGAAATGTAATTGTGAACGCTAGGGAAAAACAAGAACACGAAGCACGTTGAAGGGATGGCAGGTGCCCAGGACACCACCTGAAGGAAGCCCCCGCAGAGCGGTTTCTAGAGCCTCCGGTTCTCTCACAGTAGACACACTGAGACCAGACCGGGCATGGGGAGGGGAGCCTGGGGCACTTGCCCAGGGGGCACCGATGAGAAAGGCAGCCAGACAAAGGGGAGAAGGCACTTCTGCTGCAGGGGAAGCCCTTCGCCACATTTACTCCTCTTCAAGTTGGGGGCTGGGAGGCCCAGCATCGGAACTGCCCAGGGTGCTCGTCACTCTCAATTTGCCCCTCATCCTACACTACTGCGTCTGTGGATGGTACACATAATCATAATGACATAAATAAGAGTGGCGATTTAACAAAAATGTCGAACTACTTTCTTTTCTAAGAGTGAGGGGAGAGCGAAGGAAGGCACCATCTCCCCTGCAGAAAGTCACGTGGAAAGCTGACAAAGGCACTGCCAAGGAGTCTATGCCACTCATGGCAACCCCAGAGGGCAGGGCAGAGCTGCCCAGGGAGTTTCTGAGGCTGTACTGTTTTCAGAAAGTAACCACGGCACCACAGGGATCCCTCACGTTTCAATGTCAAAACCAGGAAAGCACAGGGTGGGAAGGTTGCTTCAAAATGCAGAGATCAAAGACTTGTAGAAACAGCTAGACAGCGCGGAGCCTTCTGGAGGCCCATGGAATCGGGGCACATAATGACTGCCTTCATTCTGAGTCTAGAGTAATTGTTTGCTCTTTGAAACTACGGATTCCAATAAGAATTGGACGACCAATTCCAGTAACACTTTCATCTTGCCACCTTCCCCCGAGTTCGGTCACACGCACGGAATACTTTCAAAGGTTTAGGGAAGTCAAAACTCGTTTTCTTCACAAAATAGTTGAGGATGCTCCTTAAAATGTGTAGGGACCTACGGGAAAGTTGTACTCAATGTCCTTACCTAGGCTGCCCTACCCACCTCCCATCAGAGTTACCACCCTAGAAATGATTACTGGCTGCAATCGTTACCTGTTTTATGGAAGCCCCGTGTTATCAAGACCTAGATAATACCCGGCATTTGCTTCACTTAAAAATCCATTCCCTTCCTTTAAGGCTAATAGAGTTTGTACCACAAATCACTAGTGCCCAACCACTAGCTGAAAGGTTGGAGGTTCAAACCTACCCACAGGCTCTTCAGAAAACAGGTTAGCTGTCTGCTTCCCAAAGGTCAATCAGCCTTAAAACCAAGGGCGTACAATTCTGCTCTGCACACCCAAGGTCACCACGAGTTGTCATCCCCTGGATAGCAAGAAATAACCACATCCGCAAGGGCATGATGTGATCCATCAGGGGCATCAGCAGACTGGCCCGTCACGGTGAATGTCATGTATCACAACACCATGCAGAGAACTCATGCTATCAATGTGCTTCTCTTCCCAGGGCCCACCATTGGAGTTTCCTGAAAGACTATGATCCGATGGTAAGGCAACCTGCTCCAAACAGGTGTACTTGCATCTGAATCAGTGTGCATTCTCTCCGTCATTCATCCGACGTTCATTGAGGACCTCCTCTGTGCTATACGCTAGGAAGTACAGACCCGAGTAAAATACCAACACATTTCAGGCACTCAAGGTCTGGTGGAAAAGAAAATATTGGTGTAGAGCACTTATTTTTCCAAGCATTTCTTGATTTTTATTAAGATGGATCAGAAATGCAGGATATTGGCTAGGTATACTGACGTGTGAATGTGGTGTGCTCCTAAGCAGAACCAGTTTAGGTGGCAAAACTTGGTGAATGAATTCCCTGCTGCTAATATCATTGACTCTAATCCATTCTCCGCATTGTCGCCAGGTGAATTTCCCTAAACAGTAAAACTGACCACACCACTCCTTTCTTTAAAATCCTTCATTAAATAGCTCCTGGGGTAAACTCTGGATTATGCCCCACCCCCAGGACCCCATACAATGCCTGATGCTTTGTTCAGGTTGAATGGACTTAGTATACACGTGGGGTGAACTTAGTGATAAGAATGATCAAAGGATTAGCCTGGAAAATGGACACTGTAGAAAGTCAACCAAGAAGCTGGCCACACGGACCTTGTGAGCTTGAGAAAAAATTTAAATGCCTGCTTTACTGGACTTGCTGGGCTTGTTGTCATCGGGCCCAGAATAGAAGATGCAGTTCCCGGAGCCTGAAATCCTACACTGAGCTCCCGGGCCAACCCTCCAGCCTCCCACAGTCTCTTTCTGCTAAGGGTTTATGTACTAGCAACAGGACAACAGAAATCAATATCACACATCAACAGCAGGGCCGCTTCAACATGGCCTTTCCCCGGTGAAAGGGGGATCCCAATACTTGACTGCGGCCATGTCCCTTGACCCAGGGTAGACACAGCCAATCATAACAAGGGGCAGGGACCGCGGATCCTCTCCGCCCACTGACCAGATGCATTCTTCCTCATGCATGCTCATTCACTCATCTGCCAGGTGGACGCGCTATGGTTACCCAAACTCATTTCCACGCATGGAGGCAAAGCAGCACTACACAAAGGGTCAAAAACCAGCAACGTGAATGAACAGGTAGCGAAATATGTGTGCGATTCACACCATGTAGAACAGCGAGAACAGGCGAGCAGCGAGGTGGCTGGATCACACAAACCTATTTCTGAGACAAAGAAGCCAGGAGGAAAGGATGTGACACCATTAATTAAAAGCTTCAAATACAGTCGGGGTGACACGGGTCACGAGGAGGTGACCATGGGGTCAGAGAGGCTACAAGGGGCTGAGTGTACTGGATTTTCATTTTGTGTTTGTTTTGTGAAATTGCATTGAGGCGTCCAGTTGGGACGTATCCTTCGAGTAAAATCTGTCTAAGGTGAAGGAGAACAATCCCTCTGGAGCTGTGCTCAGAGAGGACACGGTCTTCTGCAGGGAGGGGGCGGTAGATGGAGGAACAAGACGCGGTCCTTCGGGGCTCCTGTCTCAGGAGGCGGCTGAGAGGCAGGTCATTAAATTATGAAGAGCACAAGGCAAAGTCAAGGAGGGTGGGAAGCGTCCAGGGGGAGTGGGACCCAAGGATGAGAAGGGACACGCGACAAAGGTCTGGGGAGGGTGTTGCTCTCCTGGGATCACCGTCGACCAGACTGGGTTTGAAGCCGTCGGAGAACAGACACCTAAAGACGGTGTCTAGCCCCTGCTCTGTGTTCTTCTCTCCCAAGGGGCTCTCGGGTGGCTGGCTGGTAGACGCCCTCCCGTTCCCCCACCGTGTGTGACGGCAGCTGTCTCCTCAGGGCAATAAGAAGGAGCACCCCACGTTGCCGGAGCACGTGCCCCTCTTCTCGGACACGGTCCCCAACTCCACCAACCAGGTTGTGGGCAGCAGGGTGGACACGCCTCTGGGGAAAGCGCTCGTACACATGGACTTCTTCTTCAAAGAAGGAGCTCGGAAGCAGAAGCTTGAAGAAGAGCTGCAGCCCATCTAGGACCCAGGAGGGCCCGGGTCTCCCTGAGGTGGGTGTGGGAGACCCTGACTTGACTTCCACGCAGCCTGGCCCACGGGAGACAGTCCACACCCCCACACACAGGTTAGCTGGCACTTTAAGTGTCTCTAATTCCCACCATAGCCTTCCAGGAGGCTTCCGGGGCTTTGAAGCAAACAAACACCAAGAGGGTTCAAGGAACTTGCCCGACCACCTGCAACGTTGTAGGAAATCCAACCTTAGTCCTTACACCGGCCTGTGAGCACTGACTCCGTGGGTTCCAACCCTGCTCCGGCTCCTTCCTGCTCTGTAACCTGGGGCAGGTTAGACCACTCTGTGCCCATTTCCCCAAGCATGTATAAGGGGGACTTGTGACCGATCATAGAACAATTCTGTTATCTTCCAATTCTCTTTTTCCACGAACGTTTGGAAGCCCCTTAGGTTGGTTTCCGTTTACTGCTATGACGATTTAATAACGCAAACCTGGTAACTTAAACCCATGATCTTATCTTGATGCAGGTTAGAACTGCAAAAACGAGTCTCCCTGGGCTAACGTCCAGGGGTCAGCGTGGCGCCTTCCTCCTGTGCGTGCTCTAGGGACAGCCTGCTGCCTGGCCTTTCCAGCTTCCAGAGGAGCCTGGGGGTGTAGGGGCTAGGTGTCAGGCTGCCATCTGCATGGTTGGCAGTTTGAAACCTCCAGCCCCTCCTTGGGAGAAAGCCCAGTCTTTCTACTCTGAAAGAAATCCGGTCTCAGAAACCTGCAGAGGGTTGCTGTGGATCAGCATCAACTTGATGGCAGGGAGTGTGGTTCTTGCAGCGGCTGCCCTCCACCCTTGACTGGGGCTCCCTGCCATCCGCAACGCCATCCTCAACGCCAACATCTTCATGTTTCTCTCTTGCCTCCTACACCTTCACGTAAGGACCCTTGTCAGCACATCAGGCCCACCCTGATCACCCAGGACAACTTCTCCGTCGTAAGATCCTTAACTGAGTTAAATCTGCAAGCTCCCTGGTTGGGGCGGTAGATTCACAAGGCCCAGGGAATCGGCCAGGGCACCTCAGATGGGCCATCTTCTGCCTGCTGCATCTGGAGATAGTGATAGGACCCCTTTTATAAGGCGGCCAAGAGAGTAGCTTCATGAATCTCAAATACACTGGCATCTAGCCGATTCTGATGCATAGCAGCCCTGTAGGGCAAGATAGAACTGCCCCTGGGGTTCTGAGATGAAACCTTTACAGGGTCGAATGCTTCCTCTTGCTCCCTCGGAGCTGCTGGTGCCGGACCGCTGGCCTTGTGGTTGGCAACACGACGCGAAACCACGACGCCCATCGCCCGGCTGCTCGGTTCAGACAGTTCGTGCCTCGGCCAGTGCCTGGGGCACAACATGGGTGCTGCGCCTGAACAGAGGCTCCTCTCTCGAGAGGGAGCATGTTGCAGGTGTGGTTCCTACAGAAGGCCGGGGGTGCTCGGGCAGAGCTCTGAGAAGGCCGCCTTGCTCAAAGTCAGTCTCTCTGCCCCCTCCGTTCTTCTGTCGATTCTGCAGTCATGACTAAGGTGGTCGGGTGAGGTTGGGAGCAGGGCCCTTGCAGGGCAGCTGAGCTGAGGCCATTCTGTGTGCACCTGTGACCTGGGTCAAGGTCATGTCTCCTGTCCACCACATACTTCATTTTGGAAAAACCATACGATTTTGACATACGATTCATGTGCCACACCATTCGATGGCTTATGTATTTTAAAAAAGACTTGTGCAATCATTGCCGCAATTGATTTTATAACATTTTCTTCATTCTTATACCCATTATTATTAGTTCCCCATTTCCCCCAAAACACCCCCCCCCCAACCCTTAGGAACTATGAATCTAGTTCCGGTCTGTATAGATATAGACCTAGCCTAGATATGATAGAAAGAAAATCATACCAAAAACAGTGGGGGGGGGCACCAAAAAACAAATAAAACACAGAAAAACCTCAATCCAAAAGAAAGTAGAATGTAATCAAAAGTCGAGCAAATTAAAAATGGGTCAAAGGGGAAAATCAATGACAATATGTTCAATGCTAACCTAATTCTATCTGCGGTAGGTGTCTGGTAGGGCCATGTGCTGAGCTGCCAACAGCCAGTTTGGCAGTGCCGACCCAGCAGTCACTCCGAGAGGGAGAAAGACAAGACCACACATTCCCACAAAGATTCACTGCCTCAGAAACCCAGAGGGGCAGCTCGCTGACACCCCCGACCCCCACCCCGCCCCTGCAGGGTTGTTGAGCTGGGACCCACCGGATGACAGTGAGGGTGAATTTGATGTCTGCAGTGACCCTCTTTCTAATGCACCCGTCCAAGGCCAAGGCTCCTGATCCAAGGGAATTCAATGGAGGCTGGATCCGCACCACCACACACTGGATGGTGGGTGGGTGGACACAGTAGGTCCCAGGAGCAGGCTGGAGCCAGAGCGCTGACATACATCCGGGTTCCGCATGATGCTCAGCTGTGCAGGGCTGGCACAGAGTCTCGGGGACAGGAGCACGCTCATCAGGTATGGGCTTCCTGCCCTTCCCAAAGGCCATGTGGACAGCCTGAGGACAATGGACAGTCAACAGTGGACAGTTGGGGCCCCTCTTATGTCCAAAAGTTGCACCAAAGACTTCTGTCCTCTCTGCTGGTTAAAAACAAAGGAGTCCTCTCCCCTCATCTTTTGAGCACCCAGCTAGGTCATACCCTGCAGCCTTCCAGGCCAAGGAGACCCAGCCTTGTGACAACCTGGGCCCGTGGGACAGAGCGATGACCGTGCGTGCCACTCCCAGCTGGCCCCTCCTTCTCTCTCCTCCAGCCTAAAGATACAGAGGATTTGGGGGAGGCAGGGGAGAGAGGCCCAAGAGGGAGGGGAAATGGAGCAGGGTGCCCCAGCCCCACACAAAGTTTACATCCATAGGGACAAGCCCCAAAAACAGATGCAAGGGGGTGGGGGAGTAACCGGGACTGCACATATGTGGTGTAAAGCATTTAAAATGTATTCTCTCATCTTCTGCTCACCACAACCCAAGGACATAAACCAGCACTTAACAAACTGAGATTCAGGTTGGAAAGAAAACCCTAAAGTCCTCAAGGCAAGTAAGAAGTCCAGTCAGTAAGTGAGCAAGCAGTGCCCCGAGCCAGGTCTGAGGATCATAATGCCGGAGCCTGCAGAGAGCGAGGAAATGGATCGGCAGCTGAAATGCTGCCTTCACTGCCATGAAGTCGATCCCAACTTAAAATGACCGTAGAGGACACAGCAGAACTGTCCCTGTGCGTTTCCAAAGAAGGCCTTATCTTTGTCCTACAGGGAGGCTGTTGGTTTCAAACTGCTGACCTTGAGGTGACAGCCCAACTCGGAGCCCACTACATCACCAGGCTCCCTCTCTCTGGGCTTTACCCGGCTTTCCGGCTAGTATTAAGAGCCACCGTCATTTTCGGGTATCTAATCTTTTCGGTGTCCTTATGAGAAAGGTATTTTCCTGTCGTACATCTAAGGAAACTGAGCTACAGAGGGGTTAAAGAACGTGCCAGGGCTACAGGGTGGCCAGTGGAAAAGCCAGGTCCAAATCCACCAATTTCATCGGGCTCCTGAGAACACATAGGGGTTTCAAAAAGGGCATGCCAAGATGGAATGAAAGGAGAATGGAATTTTCCCCGAGGCTTTTTGAAGTCCCACCTGTCCTGACACACTAAGCGCCATTAAACCAAGCCAACCCTGTGGCTGTGGGGTGGGTTCTGACACAGCCACCCTGCGAGACAGAGAGCTGCTCTGAGACCGCAAATCTTTAAGGAGGCCGACAGCCTCGTCTATCTCCTGAAGTGAGGCTGAAGGCTTTGAACCACTGAACTCACAGCTGCTCAACATTTAATTCGCTGTCCCACAAGGGCTCTGTGTGCTCGACGGGAGCCCCTTAGTGCCCCGTAAATTGAGTTGCAACTATTCAATTCACGCAAGAGTTCTTGGGAAAGTGGGAACTGGTTTTCCCAATGCCTAAGATCCCCTTTCCTCAAGAAAACCTCATGTGTTCTCAGAAGGTACACAGCACACGCTATTTCCGCAACACAACCCTTTCTCCTTGTGTTAGTCGGATTGACTAGAGAAACAAACTCATTGACATTCATATATGTGCAAGGGAGAATTTTATATCAAGAATTAATTATGCATCAATAAAACACCCCAGCCCAGTCCAGATCAAGCCCGTAAGTTCAATATTAGCCTGTATGTCCAATATTAACCCATGAATTCTTCATACTCACTCAGCACATGCAATGATGCCGAATGGAGGAATATATATCACAGGCTGGTGGGTGGAAAGTCCTGTGGATCCAAAGTCCTGTGGGCGGGGGGAGCATCTCCAGGGCTCTGGCTGTCATCAGCATGGCTCCATGTGGCTTGTCAATAGGAATATGTAGCAAGCAAAGAGAGTGTGTCTGCCTCCATGGAGGAAGACAGGAGTTCCCAGAATCCTCAGGAGAAGACCACACCCACAGAGAGGCCTCATTGGCAATGATCTGATTGACAGGCTAGACTCCACCCCTTCACTCAAGTTAAGAGGAGATTATGTAACAGCCACACTCCTGCACTGCCACACCCATGGCTGCTCAGATTGAGTGTGAGGACACCAGACAGGCCTGACTCTGGTGACCAACAGGAAGGGACAGAAGTAATCCCCGCAGGACAGAGCCCTGTGCATTGCTATCCCAAGGAGGCCGTCTCTTTTTTCCAGAATCTGAGATGGAATCTGGGCTCCCTGTCCAGAGTGCTTCTCTGTGTCTGGGGACTTCCGTGGCCAGGACAGTGAAGAATCTCAGGCCCATCTTGGCAGGTCACTTGAAGGTGGGCCTGGATGGAGATAAATGCAGCTGCAGGTCGCTCCTTAGAGAATCCATGTGTGTTGTGAGCATGTTCTGTGTTGTTTTTACCCCCAGAAAAGAGGAAAAGAAAGAAAATATCAGTTGTGAGCTTTTCTCATAGGAAAAAGCTTCTCAGAGGATTTTCTCATAGGAAAAGCTTCTCAGAGGATTTGCTCAGGATACAGCTGGAATAAGTACGGTGAGAAGACACAACCCTGACACATGTCTTTCCTGATTTTAAGCCGTGCAGTATTCCTTTGTTCTGTTCCAACGACTGCCTCTTGGTCCGTGTGCACATTCCTCAGGAGAACAATGCAGTGTTCAGGAATTCCCATGCTTCTCAAGGCTATCCATAGTTTGTTATGATCCCCACGGTCGAATGCCTTGGCATCGTCAATAAAACACGTAAACAACTTTCTGGTGTTATCTGCTTTCAACCACAATCCACCTGGCATCAGCCATGAAACCCCTCTTGCCACATCCTCTTCTGGATCTACTTAGAATATCTGGCATCTCCCTGTTGATCTTCAGCAAAATTTTGCTCACGTGTGATATTAATGATACTGTTAGATAATATTTGTATTCTTTGGAAAGGGTGAAAATACGGATCTCTTCCGGTCAGTTTTCCAGGCAGCTGTCTTCCAGATTTCTAGGCATAAATTAAGGAGTGCTTCTAGAGCTTCATCGGCTTGTTGAAACATTTCAACTGGAGTTCATCTATTCCTGGAGACTTGTTTTGTGGTAATGCCTTGGGTGCAGCTTGGACTTCTTCCTTCAGTACTATCAGTTCTTTCTTGGTCATATGCTACTTGAAATGGTTGTGTGCCGACCAGTTCTTTGGGTGCAGCGACTCTGTATTCCTTCTATCTTCTTTGGATGCTTCGATATTTTGCCCACGGAATCCCTCAATATCACAACACTAGGCCTGGATTCTTCATTTCTTTCAGCTTGAAATATGCTGAGTGTGCCCTTCTCTTAGGTCTTTATAACTCAAAGTCTTTGCACATTTCATTATAACAGCTTGTCTTCTTAGGTTACCCTTCACGTTTTTCTCTTCAGCTCATTTACATCTTCATTTCTTCCACGGGCCTTCGCTACTCTACAATTAAAAGCACATTCCAGAGCCTCTCCGGAGGCCGTTTGCTTTCTTTGTGTATGATGCTCTTGATATTATCCTGCACCTGTCATGAGTGTTCAAAGCACCAAAGTAGTTCTTCAGATGGCCTCCATGTTCATACGGGAGCTGCTTAATGTGGTATTTTGGCTCTTGTGGACTTTTTAATTTTTCTTAAAATCCACCTTAATTTATCTATAAGCAATTGGTGGTCTGTTCCACAGTTGGCCACTGGTCTTGTTTCAGTTGATAATATTGAGCTTCTCCATCATCTCCTCTCACAGATACAGTTAATTTGATCCCTGTTCATTCCATCTGCTGTGGTCCATGTGCAGAGGTGCTGTTGATGTGGCTAGTAAATAAAAAGCTAATTGAAATGAAGAAGTTGCAGGTAATGCAAAATTCTATCTTGTGAGTTTCAGCTTCATTTTTATCACTGAGGCTATAGCTTTCCAACCACTGATCCTTTTTCTTTGTTTCCAGCTTTTTCAGTCCAATCATCAATCACTATCAATGAATCTTGATATCGTGTTTGATCCATTCCACACAGAAGTTGGTAGAATTTTACAATGTCTTCATCACTAGCTTTAGTGGTTGGTGCTTAAATTTGAATAATAGCTATGTTAACTGGGCCTCCTTATAGGCAAAATAGATATTACCCTATCACAGACAGGACTGTACCTCAAGACAGATCTTGAAATGTTCTTTATGATGATGAATGTGAAGCCCTTCCTCTTGAACTTGTCATTCCTGGTGGAATACATCGTATGATCATCTAAACCAAGATAATCAATGCTAGTCCATTTGGCTCAAAGCCTAGAATCTTGATCTTTATGCATCCCATTTCATTTGCTTCTAATTTTCCTAGATTCATATTTACACATTCCACATTCTAATTATGGATGGATGTGTGCTGCTGTTCCTCCTCCCTTGCAGTAGTACCCCATCAGCACATACAGCTTGGCCCCGTCCACATCATTAAGGTTGACTTCACTATGAGGGATTACATCTTCCCTCATTGGACTTTGAGTGCCTTCTAACCTGCCGGACTCATCTTCCCACATGCTATCTTATCATATATCCTACTGCTACTCATAAAGTTGTGGGTAGCTAATCCCTCAGAAACGGGCCATCTCTGCCTTTTTCAGAGTCTGTTCTTAATGTGGAAACTCCACGCAAACATGTCCACCCCCTACTGCCCCTTCTCTGCCTTCACCTTCTTGCTTGCTGACCAGAGAGCTGCCCAAGCCCTGCCAGGTTCCCACCGACATCGGATCCACAGGCCGCCGCCCCCACGCCCCTGTGATCTTCCTGCACTCTGTATCATTGCCTGTGACTGCTGCGTCTGAAGAGGGACTTAAGGACTTGAGTTGGACGGGCTGGGATGTTCTCTTGACATATAATTACTTCCTGATATAAACCTCTCATACACATGAGTGTTACTGGGTTCGTTTCTCTGATCAACCTGGCCTAACACACCTCCTTGTAACTAACTGTTACCTCCCTTGGGGAAAATTTTCACTCTGGAGGCTGGAAGCTCAAAGCTTGCAGGTCTGAATCCCAAACCCCATCAGAGCACGGCCTCCTAGGACTGGGGAGGAACACTCTTCCCCCGGCGACTGGTTGGTAGGTCAACCATGGCTTTGGAAAGGCCTGGGGTTCTGATCCCATTAGGCACTCTGGCCAAGTCCCCGGCTCTCTCCAGGTGCCCCGCCCCCCTCACCTGCACAGGGAGGAGAACCTGCATACAGGGAGTTGCATGGCTCAAGGGGTTAAAGGGGCAATTTCTCAACTACAAGGGGTGTTCAAAGCACTCGTGGGGGGAAAATCCACGATTTTTCCCTTCTACTTTTCCATGAACTTTGTGAAGCCATTACTTACTCTGAGAAAAACAAACACAGACAACACACCACGTTGGGGGGTGAAAGCTTCCAAAGAAACAGTCCACCAGCCCTGGAGAGGGTGTGCCAGTGCACCCTATCCCGGCGCACACGCTGCCCGGGGCGGATCCCGTGGGAAAAGTGAATCAGCGGCGGGCGGACCGGTGGGG